AGCAGGTGTAGCACAGGGTTCCTGGAAAGGCGGAACAGCCGTGGAGAGCAGGCAGCGCTGAGAAAATGCCAGAGGAAAGGGACGCAGCCTGGGCCGTCTCAGGCCTCAGGCAGGTGGAGGGGACGCCTGAATGGGCTCGCTCCAGGGCCGCGATGGCGTGGGAGTAAGCACGCATTGCACCGTGGCCAGGCATGCAGGGGCCTGGAGCATTGTTCCCCAGGCCCGGGGCTGCACCAGCTGGCTAAGCGCGGACGGTTTGTGAGTCACAACCTGTGGAGCGCTTTAGATTTCTCTGGAAGAGATCCACAGAGATGACCAGGTAGCGTCCCGTGACATCGCCCAGCAGGAACTTCCGCCATGGACTGCGCCTGGGCTCTGCCCATCCCCGCTAGGAGCAAGTGTATTTCCAGTGTTTGCGGGAACTGGCCGTGCCCCAGGGGCTGCTGTCTCTGCCCGGCCTCTCCTTGTCCTTGTTCGTAGGGCGTCTTTGTGCTGTGGCTGAAACCCTGCGGAGGGCTCATGGCAGGTGTGGTAACTTTCCAACTTATCTTAAACCTCCTCTTTTACAAGCAACATCGAACATACCCGAGTCTTCAAGATCCAAAGCCAGTCCAATCATAACTGCTCTGACCTGGGAGAAGCCGGTGTCCCCTGCCTCCCGGGGGACGTCCTGTTGGGGACACAGTTTAACACCCCTGACGTGGCCGGGAGAGCCCTGTCGACTTAGAACACCCAGGTTCTCAACCCGGCTCTGCACTGAGAAAGAGCGCGGCTTTCGGCAAGCCCTTTGGACTCCGTGTTCTCGTCTGGGAAGCGAAGTGAAGAGTTGGTGTGGACTTCACAGATTGCCGCGAGCTGCAGTGCGGCCACGTGGGGGCCCACTCCCTGCTATGGCCCAGGAAAGCAGTGAAAGATGGCCCAAGTGCTTGGGCCCCTGCACCTGTGTGGGAGACCTAGAAGAAGCTTCTGGCTCCTGGCTTCGGATTGGCTCAGCTCTATACGTAAAGGGCTCAGTTCAGCCCTATACGGTGAACTATTTCGTTCCTTGGCTTCTCCACATTTGCATAGTCCTGTGACTTCACATGCGTGGGCCAGGGGGCAGAGCCACATCCCCTGAGCCCCGCAGTCCGATCTGCTTCCTTGTATGGTTTCCGAAGAGAAGTAGTCGTTTCAAAGATACCTTAGGTTCTCCTCCCAGGGTGGTGTTGCAGTGTCCCAGACAGACAGACAGACCGACCGACCCACTGCTGGGTTGCCATCCCCCACGCCCAAGACTGAATCTGCTGTCTTGAGGTGCACACGCTGGGGTCCCGGGCTCTTCCACACCAGCGCTCTGCGTGTGTCAGCCTGTGTGTCATGTAGCTTTCTAAGTCTCTGGGAAAGCCATTTTACCCAGGGTCTCAGGAGAGCGTTTCCTGTACTTCCTTCCCAGATCCATCCAAGCTAAAGGCGTCACCTCTCTTCCCCCGGGGCTGTCCGGGCAGCTGTTGTGTCTGGTGGTTCTGCTGCTGTTCCGTGCCCCAGGCTGCGGCATCGCACCTGGAGAGACCGCTCAGAGAGGGAGCCACGTCCGCTGCAGGCCACTGGAACCCAGCTCCGGCGGGACTCCAGCGAGGAAAGCGTGCCAGTTCTCTGGCTCACGGGGTTGACTCACACCGTGGGCGGGATCTGAGCGGTCCGGTAAATCCTCTCACCTACGCTGGTCTCTGCCATTCTCCCCACACCTCACAGCGCTGGGGTTTACCTTTTCTTACCTGATATTCAGGGAGGGCTTTGAAACGGACGTGAGTTGTAGCTCTGTGTTCCCAGAGCCACTAGCTGTATACCAAAGGTGAACCAGTGTGGGTGTTGTGTTTAAGTGGCTTCCACTGGGAGAACAGTTCCAGGCCCGTAACACCAATGGTTGCCGTGTGTGTGTGTGTGTGTGTGTGTGTGTTTAAGATAGTATTTTTTGAGAGCCAGAGTTACAGACAGGGAGAGAGAGAGAGAAAGGTCTTCCATCTGCTGTTCCATCCACTGGTTCACTCCCCAGATGGCCGCAAGCTGAGCCAGTCCAAAGCCAGGAGCCAGGAGCTTCTCCTGGTCTCCCATGTGGGTGCAGGAGCCCAAGCACTTGGGCCATCTTCCACTGCTTTCCTGGGCCATAGCAGAGAGCAGGATCAGAAGAGGGGCAGCCGGGACACGAACCAGGGTGCGGCAGGTGGAGGCTTAGCCTTCCACGCCACAGTGCCAGCTCCTCAGTGGTTCCCCACTAATCAGAGCCAGCCGGCTCTCCTGAAGGCCCGTGGCTTGGATGACCCACGATGAGCGGGGCAGGAACTGAATTTCAAATGGGGGCATCGTTCTGCCACGGGCTCATGGAGCTCAATTTAGCAGCTGCTTGCTCAGAAGGGAGCGACTTCTTCCTTTTCTGCCGTGACACCCCCTGTGGGTTCCAAGTCTGTTTTACAGAGACTCTTTATGGAAGGGCGCAGCCCATCTTTGCATTTTCTTTTGAGTGGCACGGGCCAGGGAAGAGGAGGAAGAAAGGAGGAGAAAGGAGAGAGGCCGCTGGCAGGGAATTCCTGCGCCGAGTTCCTGGCAGCGAGATCCACTTTTCTTGCCAAAGGGGTGCTTGGGGTTTCACTGTTTGGCCTCTTCCCTCTGCTGAGCGCTGTCCCTTGATGTTGCTCTAAACCAAAGCAGTTCCCTTGGGCCAGACAGCAGACCCCGGCGGGCAGCCAGGAGTGACACAGAAGAGTTGCTTCTTTGCCTCTCCACTCCTGCAGTCCAACCCTTTGTCTCTCCATGACGCCAGGAAGGCATCACAGGGGCCACTCACGGCTCCCGCGCCAGCTGGACACACGAGGAAGGCTTCCTGGCCTCCGCTCTGGTGTCCCCTGGGGGAGCACCCTGACCCCTGGGTTTCAAGCTTCCAAGCTGAAGACCAGAGAACTCCCTGGTAAATGGGTGTGGAACGGGTTCTGTGTCTACACCCAACGCGGAATGCCGGTCCCTGGCTATGTGCCATCGTGGGTGCGTGAGAACGAATGGGACCACTGCCATCTCAAGATAACTGGTTCTCAAGCCCTTCCCCGCCAGACCTCTGACCAGAGCGATCAGTGTCCTCCTGTTCTCCTTTCAGCTTTGTTTAGGGAGCTAATGAACCGGCACAAGGACAGAAGGCGGCAGCGGTGGGACGGGGAGGAGTGGTGAGGGAGGAGGAGGGGGAGGGAAGTGAGGAGCCCGAGTTCCCCCCCTGGTCCTGTCCTGTTTGCAGGGGCAGGTAAGGTCTTGGCACCCTTGACCAGCTTGGAAGCTCAGACCTCCCGGGAGGCCCCTGCCCTCCCTGGAACCTACCCTACCGCTCAGGGCCCAAGGACGGAAAATGGAGGGGTTGCCTCTGGGAAAGGAGGGGAGGGAGGGGCTGTTACCAAGGAAACAGAGTCCTGTTTGACAGTCTAGGACTTTCTTAGCTTCGGGGCTGGCCAGCAAGTGGGCAGGCATGCAAATCCCCACAGGTGCAAGATGTAAAAGAGAAGCGGCCCTGGGTGAGTTTTGCATGTGCTCACGGGAAGTGAAAGTTTGGTTCTGGCCCACTCCAGCTGCAGGGGCTGCCCTTGGAGCTGTTCCCTCCAGCCAGCTAGGGGCTTGCCTGATGCTTTGGCCAAGAGGTGGTCTGGTTGGCCCCAGGCCATTGCTGTGTTGGGCTAAGGTCAGGGAAAAAATCTCTACTGCTTCCCTGCCCCTCAACCAAGTCTGAACATCATAGACGGAAAGCCTAAGTCTGGGCTTGAAGGATTCCCCCGATCTCGCGTGGGGCTGTGAGGCCTCCATCCCTCTGTCCCACCCTAGACCCAAGACGGTGCCTGGATCCCATAAAGCAGACCCCCACCTGGCCTGGCTCGCAGACTGCACCTGACCGCTCCCACGAACCCATCGCCGTATCCTCACTGTGCTCACAACCCTCACAGATCCACAGAGGGCCTTCACTTTTGCGGCCCGGCCGCCCCCTGGAGGGCTGATGCACAGCCTCTCTGGCCGCCCATTCTTTCTTCTTTAGCCACAGTTTGAATTCCTAGTCCAATGAGCTGCCTTGAGCCATGTGGTAGCCCTTAGACTTTGTGCTGTCCCCGTATTTGCTGGACCCAGGGGCCTGGAGCAAGGGTCTTCCTTGGTGGCCAGAGGAGGGAAGAAGGGGAGCCCCAGAGTTGGCCATGGCAGGGAGGAGATCTGTGGCCTGCACTCTGCAGCTGCAGCCTCCTCCCTGATGGGGGGTCCGAGCAGCCCCTGAAGTCCAAAGGGGAACAGAGCCCCTGCTAGCCACACCCAGGACATCTGTGCTGTGCCCAAGGCGTAGGGCCTCCTCTCCCTTTGCTTCTGAAAAAGAGCTTGGCTGAGAGCTGTGGAGGAGGGCCGGAAGGATGGTGGTCTCAGGATGTGCCGCTGCCGTGGGTCGGTGGCTGGCAGCCATGCATGAAGTCTTGGCCGTGGCTGTCTCCGTGAACTTGTGCAAGTGTGTAGGGTGGGGTGGAGAGCTGGACGCTGGGACTCCCTCCCCGTCTCTACCCCAGGCAGCCTGCAGCGCTGCAGGTGAGAGCATGCCCATTAGTCTGGGAGCTTAAGGGCTGTTGTGGGCCGGCGCCGCGGCTCAATAGGCTAATCCTCCGCCTAGCGGCGCCGGCACACCGGGTTCTAGTCCCGGTTGGGGCGCCGGATTCTGTCCCGGTTGCCCCTCTTCCAGGCCAGCCCTCTGCTGTGGCCAGGGAGTGCAGTGGAGGATGGCCCAGGTGCTTGGGCCCTGCACCCCATGGGAGACCAGGAAAAGCACCTGGCTCCTGGCTCCTGCCATCGGATCAGCGCGGTGCGCCGGCCGCAGCGCGCCGGCCGCGGCGGCCATAGGAGGGTGAACCAACGGCAAAGAAGACCTATCTCTCTGTCTCTCTCTCTCACTGTCACTCTGTCTGTCAGACGATAAAAAATAAATAAAGACGAAAACATCAACGCTGTGTGACGTGACGTCAGGAGAAAGCTGTGATGCGGATGGTTCTGAAGCAGAGGGGAGGCCGGTTGTGCCTGGGTTCTGTCACTGAGGGGACAGCCTCAAGTACACAGCTGGGACTGTCGAAGAACCGGTCACCCACAGTCCTCCCTGGGCTATTTTCAACCCAGTGGCTTTTCACAGTCACTGGTGATGCTGACAAGGGCAACCTACAGAGCAGGCCTGCTAGGACAAGGAAGCATGAAAGCTGTGTTCTCCAGGGGTTGATCAGACGGGAGCCGGGAACACACAGCGGGATCCGCATGAACAAACAGGGGATCGCCTATCGCCAGCCACGTGGCATCCCCAGCTGCCTCCCAGGTGTGGGACCCTTCCCTCAGCCTCGGGGCAGGGGCGGGGGGTGAGCTGGGGCAGGACAGCCACTCGGTGTAGAGGGTGGAGCGGGAATAAGGTCGCCTCGAAAAATGGGTAAAATGGCTGACCCCCTCCCCCCAGACATGCCTCTTAAATCGAACCAGTCATAGAACTCGTCTTCTCGCTTCAGACAGTTTTGCTTGATTGCGCGCTGTTGGACGAACAGGTGCTGAGAAAGGCACATCCTAAGAGAGAGCTGCTGGCTTATCCCGTGCTAGGGTTTGGATCTGGTTTGTCCCCCAGAGGCTCCGTGTGCTGGAAGCTTGGGCCCCAGCCTGGTGGGGTTGAGGGGGTGGTCCCTTTAAGAGGCAGGGCCTCAAGGAAGGGAGCCAGGTCATGGGGGCTGCACCCTCAGGAATGGAGCAACGCAGTCTTGTAAGAGTGCGGTGTTGCACGCTGTGCCTTGGCTCCTGGCCACACAGCCCGCGCCCTTTCTGCTCCTCTACAGGGTGGCAACACGGCCAGGACCCTGGGCAGGACAGCAGCAGCTGCCAGAGCTAGAACTGTGGGCTTCTTTACTTTAGACTTTGTGCTGTCCCCGTATTTGCTGGACCCAGGGGCCTGGAGCAAGGGTCTTCCTCGGTGGCCAGAGGAGGGAAGAAGGGGAGCCCCAGAGTTGGCCATGGCAGGGAGGAGATCTGTGGCCTGCACGCTGCAGCTGCAGCCTCCTCCCTGATGGGGGGTCCGAGCAGCCCCTGAAGTCCAAAGGGGAACAGAGCCCCTGCTAGCCACACCCAGGCATTTGCTTCCAGCCGCACAAAATGAACCAAGAAAGGGCAACTATTTTCCAAAATCATTGCTTCAACCAAAACTCCCACCATCCATAGCTCCCATTACGGCCCAGCCCTACGAGCATTCGTTATTGTTAAACTTGAGAATTTCAACTGATCAGGTGTAGCAGTACCTCGTTGTGGGTTTAATTTGCATTTCCCTGATGACTAAATAAAGCCAAGCATCTTTCACTACAGTTTCTGGCCACATGAATTTCCCTCACATGACGTGTCTGCTCAGGTCTTTCACTATCTTCCTATGGCCAAAGTTAGGTCCTCTTTTCAAATAAATTTCATCTTCATTAAAACTACATTTGACCGGCCGGCGCCGCGGCTCATTAGGCTAATCCTCCGCCTTGTGGCGCCGGCACACCGGGTTCTAGTCCCGGTTGGGGCACCGGATTCTGTCCCGGTTGCCCCTTTTCCAGGCCAGCTCTCTGCTGTGGCCCAGGAGTGCAGTGGAGGATGGCCCAGGTGCTTGGGCCCTGCACCCCATGGGAGACCAGGAGAAGCACCTGGCTCCTGCCATCGGATCAGCTCGGTGCGCCAGCCGCAGCGGCCATTGGAGGGTGAACCAACGGCAAAGGGAGACCTTTCTCTCTGTCTCTCTCACTGTCCACTCTGCCTGTCAAAAAATAAAAAATAAAAACTACATTTGACAAGCATGTGTCCAGTTTTGAAGGTGTCTCTGCTCACTAGCGAACCATATGTAAAGACTCAATCTCCTAGATCCGTAAGCTTAAAAATGACTGTGGGTTTTTGTTTTTGTTTTTGTTTTTTTTTTTTGTGCTCCAAATCATTGAAAATATAATAACAATAGAAATTCACATAAAGTTACTTTCCAGATAATATTTTCTTATCTCTGTTTTCCAAATCTGACATCGTTTTATTGAATTCTGCTCCCTTTTGTTTCTCTGTATTTTCATGGAGAACAAACGTACCTCTGGACGTCACAGTCTTGTACTTATTATTCTGTTCTGTGTTTATCAAGCTATGCATATGCACTGTGGTGAGTTAGCTACAGGGCAATAATACAGGAATGCACTGTTGTGTACATGACCTTTGCCGTGACAGTAATATTAAGCAAAAGACATAGCTGTGCCTACAATAGTTATACATGTTTAATAAAAATAAAGAAAAAGCTCCCCCAAGTGTGAGCCCAAGCTTTCGCTCACCCTATCTCCTTTAGACATTTGGGTATGAGCTCATCGACAAAGAGTGAAGCCAGACAATCTACCATCAAATAAATTATTCAGTAATCTGTGATGTCCTTGTAACATGAGACTCCCCTATTAAAAAAGTAAATAGTTGCACTGCTCACAGAGACACATGCCTGCTATTTATAGTGTTTATGGGAGTTGCTTTGCTAGCAAACCAGCTAGAGCCTGCCCCCCGGTATAAGCACGGATGTTTGTGGCAGGACTGTTATGCTAAGCCATTTCTTCTATGCACGTGTGCTCAGCACACACCCACACACAGAGGACAGCGGAGAGAGCCTAAGCAGGCATGAGCTACATGTTAGATCTGGCTCGTTCTCCTTAATTCCCTGGAAACTCGAATAGGGACAAAGTGACCACAGGCAGGTTACCACGGGTCAAATAATGTGTATTCCTGGCTGCATCCGGGTCATTGGGTCCCTATGTTTTCCAAAGGCGATATTTTATTTTTAGCTCAGAACACTGGATTTCTCTGCAGACAAACAGAAACGTGGGGCACTGAGCTTTCCATGATGCCTCTCCTTTCCCCCCAGGTGCAGCTATGACGACCTCAAAGATGGGTGGCCCTGGACTGCAGCTCCCAGATCGGGGTGGGCCAGGTGGCCTGAATGAATTCGCATCCTGAAAGGGCTGGAAAAGAAACCTCTGGGTGTCTGTTTTCATGGCTTCATTTTTGGATTAAAAATTCTCTCTGGCTCTGGAGACATGATTGGCATTGAGGCAAAGCAAGCTCCTTTGGAAGGCCATGAACGCCGGCGTAGTGCTTACTCCACTCCTTATGCATCAGTGAGTGGTAGCCTCTGAGCTGACTAAGAAGGTTCCATTAAGTGAAAGCCGACGTTAAGTAAAGCATCCAACGCAGGCATAGACGGGCACAGCAAAGGAAGTGTGAACTGACAAAGAAATGGAATTAAGGGAAACAGTCTGGATTCTTCCACTGTGTCATGGTTGTTCAGTAGTAAAGAAGTTCCTGGAAAACAAAAATACTGTAAAGCCACACACATAATCCAGTAAGAAAAAATCAAAACGTAGAAAGTTTTTTTTTTTTTTTGACAGGCAGAGTGGATAGTGAGAGAGAGAGAGACAGAGAGAAAGGTCTTCCTTTTTGCTGTTGGTTCACCCTCCAATGGCCAAACGTAGAAAGTTTTTAAAAATTAAATAACCGAGGAGGAATTTTACACCACACCTAGCAGGATGGTTACAATTAAAGGCAATGTCAGGAGCTGGCTGGCACAAGGAGGCAGACTGTGGATTGGTGACACCTTGCTGGTCACCAGCCACCGTGGAGTACACTTTGGGAGTTTTAATACAACCACACAAAGCAGCCACTGCACTCTCGGAAAAGTAAAATCATGTTCTGCGTGCACACCAAGACTCGTGTGAGAGCGTTCATGGCAGCACTGTTCATCCAGGCCCAGCCTGGAAATGAGCCACGTGCCCTGCCGTGGGCGAGTGGTTCAACAAACCGCAGCGCCTCTGCTCGCTGGGATGCTAAGGGTGGAGCTAAAGCGAGAGTAAGTGCAAAACAGAGCAATCCCCAGTGGGTCCTATGTCTTAGGATTTCATTTATGTCACACTCTTACAAGGGCAGCCATGGAGAACGGATCAGTCGTGAGCAGAGGTCAGGGCTTGGGGTAGGGGAAGGAACAAGATGGAAGGAGGTGGGGTTTTAAAGAGGCAACAGGCGGAGGCGGGCAGTGAGCTTGGTGGTTGAGCCACTGAAAGGAACACTCACTTCCCATAATGGAGGGCCTGATTTCCAGGCCCTGCTCCGCCCCCAGTTCCTGCTGCTGATAATGCAGACCCACCTGGGGAGGTGGCAAAGGACCCATCAAATGGGGTCCTCCCTGTGGGAGACCCAGACGGAGTTCCTGGTTCCCAGCTTTGGCCTGACTCAGCCCCAGTGTTGGGAAAGGAACTAGTGGATAGGAGCTCTCTCGCTCGCGCTCTCTCTCTCTCTCTAATAGCTGAATGTGAATCTATACCTATCTCAAAGTGTTTAATTAAATGCAAAACATTAAGTGTGATCGAGTGTTCTCATGGCACACCTGTTAACCTTGTTGTAGAGAGAGAGAATCCACGTGTAATGCTAAAGAAAGGCCAGCGGGGACCTGAGGGAAATCCAAAGCGGAGGACAAAGGCGGAAGCTGGAAACCCTCCTGGATGTGTGCGTGTGTGCATGCGTGTGTGCGTGCGTGCGTGTGTATGTGTGCGCATGCGTTTGTGTGTGTGTGTGTATGTGTCTATGCCACTGTGTAACAGGATCAGCAAGGACGTTATGGAGGTGCCAGGCAGGGGCGGGGAGGGAGCGCGTAGCAATGGCGGCGCCACCATGTGCTAATTAACCCTATGGAGGCTCCTGGCAGTACAGGAGGAACAGGTGGCAGCTCCAGGCCCGACCACCCGTTCTTTAACCTCAGCAACCCAACATCAGAAGGAGCTGAAGCCCCGCGCGCTGCTGGAACCCAGCTTGTCTCTGTGCGGTGGATTCGAACCCCAGACACAACAGTGGGTGTCCTTGAGGCTGTGTTGGTCACCAGGGCTCCGCCGTGCCTTCGCTCGACTGTCCAGCTGCAGGCTGGCTGCCGCCCACTTGGTGAGCCCAGGGAAACGCAGCTCCGGCTGAACTGAAAACTCGCCCGGGATCTGTCATTACAATGTGCCCTGGAGCATTCTGGACTCAACTAACTCAGCTTTTAGGGCCATGCAAGGTGGAGGAAACAGAAGGGTTAACCAAGAAGAGAAAGGGGTGAGGCACGGCAGGCCCCGGGGTCTGTTCCTGTGGGCTCTGGGTGGGTTCCATGCAATCTGAAGGCCTGGGCTGGAGCCCAGTCCACCCCACAGCAGGGCGTGGGCAGGAGGGAATACTCGCTGGGAGGCTGGGAGTCCAGATGAAAGGGGAAAACAGATTAAAAGGTACCTAGCATTCCTCAGAAGACGGCGACTTTTAGTAATGATTTCTTAATAACAGCTCACACCCCGTACCCAGCTGGTTCCCGAATCTGCAAGCAGGTTCCGTGTGGTGTTTGGTCCTCACCGGATCTCCTTCTGATTACCACAGTTCACCTGCTGACCCTCCGTTGGCCTGCTGATTTGGCGAACACTGATGTGGTTTACAAAGGTACCCTAACGGACCTCTACCACACACCTGGGACAGGGCACGGTCACTCCTCCTGGCAGCCTTACAGAATAAGTTGGGGTAAAGGGCGGGGGAAAGGTTGAGCTCTGGGGCCATGGGACAGGTGTGTACTTGCCAGCCATGTGACCTCATCAAGTTACTGAATTCCTCTGGCCCTCAGCTCCTAATCTATAAGGCAATGTGGTTAAAGGGTCAGGCTTCAGGCTCAGGTGATCCGCTTTGAATCCCAGCACCACTACCCACTTCCTGGGTGTCCGTGGGTGAATTACTGAGCTTACCTAAGCCTCGCAGTTTTTCCTGTGTCAAATGGACATAGCAGAGAGTTTTATGCCTTCCTTAGAAATAAGATTTCGGCTTTCAATTTCTAAGGGCCACGTTTTTTCACTTCCCTGAAAAGCACGAGGCAAAGGCAAAGGCAGAGTTCTCCTTGCCTGATTCAGTGGTAAGGGCATTCCCCAACACCCAGCGCAGCCCGCAGCAAACAGTGGGAGCCCCGGGGCTCCACAAGTGTCCGGAAATCTGCCCAATCGTTAGCTGACCAGTGAGCTCACCGAGCAGAGCCCTCGGTGGCCACAAATGACAAGGAAAACAAGTTCAGAAGAATCACCCGACAAACTACAGCAAAATCAAGACAGACCTGAGACGGACAGAGGATCTGACTTTAGCTGCTTGTCTTATATTATTTAAGATGTCTAGATTTTAATGAAAGACTGCCAGCCAAGTAAATCAACAAGAAAGTCTGACTCAAACACGGGAAACTGGGCAAAGAGCACATTACGTCTCTCTCTGATTTATTTCTTATAGCTGAATGTGATTCTGTACCTATTTCAAAATAAAGTGCTTAATTAAATCCAAAAATTAAGTGTGATATGGTGTTCTCAGTATTCAAGCTAAGGAAGCCATGATAGATTTATGTGTGAAAGTTACGTCTTGTCAGAGAGGGAATTTTAGTAAAGAAATAGAAATTATTTTTAAAAACCAATGAGATAGAAATCCTGGCATCAGAATGAAAAAAAAATCTCTCGGGAAGTCCAACAGATGTGGCAGGCGGGAGAAAGCGCTCGCAAACTTGAGGCTAGACCTCCCCACCGAGGTGTCTCGTCCCGAGGACAGCAAGAAAGAGAATGAAGGGACATGAACAGAGCCTCAAACACGTGTGGGACACACATCACCTGCTGGCGTGTGTGTGACTGGAATTCCACGAGGCAGAGGAAAGGGCAAAAGAACATTTGAAAAAATAATGGCTGAGAACCTCCCGAGTGTGATGAAAAACATTTTACGCATCCAAGCAGCTCAAATGCCGATATACTCAAAATAGGTACCCTGATGCTTCAAAGCCAGCCTGCAGGCGATCCTGCAAACGGTAAGGAGGGAGTGACTCATCAGACCCGAAGGACCCCCAATAAGATTAACACTTAACCATTTCAATTAAGAGACAAGCATTGGCAGAATGGATTAAAAACAACCACCAGCGCACATGACAGGCGGGTGCCTGCGCGGGAGTCCTGGCTCCACTTCTGACCCCAGCCTCCTGCTAGTGCGCATCCTGGGAGGCAGCAGGTGATGATCAAGAACCTGGCTCCCTGCCACCCTCGCGGGAGTCTAGGGTTGAGTTCTGAACTCCTGGATTTGTCCTGGCCCAGCCCTGGCTGTTGTGGGCCTTTGGGGAGTGGACCAGAAGATGGGAGGCTTCTTTGTCCTGTCCCTTCTCTTTGTCTTTCTTTTAAATAAATAAATTTTTTATAATGATACAACTATATGCTCTTATAAGAGATACAGTGTAGATCTAAAGACACAAGCAAGCTGAAAGCCAAACGATAGAAAAGACACACCATGTAAATAATAACCAACAGGAAGCGGGATAGCTGTGCTAATACAAAGCATTATACTAATCAATCATACTATGTGATGCTGTTACATGACGAAATTGTTGTTACAGAAAAAGAGGGAAACTTTATGATTAAAAAAGAATCAACTTCTCAAAAAGATAAAACAGCTATAAACATGTGTACCTATCTACAGAATCCCAAAATTGTGAAGCAAAAAAATGACAAAATTGAAAGTTTGAGACGTCAATACCCCGCTTTCAATAATGAAATAAAAACTAGACAGTTTAGTTGACTATCAACAAGATCTGAACAGCATAAACCAACCAGACCCACTGTATCTCTAGAACACTCTACCCAGCAACAGCAAAACGCACATTTTTCTCAAATGGATGGAACTTTCCCAGGACGGACAATGTTAGCACATCCAACAAATCTTAGTGATTCCCAAATGACTGAAATTATACAAAGCATGTCCTCCAAACCCCCATGGAATGAACTAAGAAATCAGTGACAGGAATTTGGGAAATTCACAAATATGTAGAAATAAAATAACATATTCCTAAACATCCAGTGCATTAAAGGAGAACTATCAAGAGGAATTATAAAGGACTTTGAAATAAGTGACAACGAAAACACAGCACACCAGATTTTATGGTATGAAGCAAAAACAGTGATTAGAGGGAAATTTATTGCTGTCATGCCATGTTATAAAAGAAGAATAATCTCAAAGCAATAACCTAGCCTTCTACCTTAAGAAATTGGAAAAATAAATGCAAATTAAGCCCAAATAGAAGAAAGCATTAAAGATGAGTGGAAAAAATGAAATACAGAAGAGGAAAAAATTTAAAAAATAAACAAAAGCTGGTGCTTTGAAACAATAATCATTAGCTACACTGACCAAGACAAAATAGACAAAGCTTAGATTATTGGAATCAGAGTTGAAAGAGGGGACATTAGAGGCCAGTGCTGTGGCCTGCGGTGCCAGCATCCCATGTGGGCACTGGTTTGAGTCCCAGCTGCTCCACTTCCGATCCAGCTCTCTGCTATGGCCTGGGAAAACAGCATAAGATGGC